TCATTTTTCTTTCCATTTATGTTTATGTAAGGGTGTAGAGTTGTTTACTCACCATAGTACTAGGACCAACTCCTAGACTCTTTGGAGCTGTCAGCGCAATGGCCATAGTGTCGACTCCCCAGCACAGCCAGCCTTTCCCCTACTAGACTATGAACTGGTGAGGTCCATCTGTGGACAGGACACAGTCCCTGCCCCATGTGCTCTGGAGGAATCACTGTGCAGGAAATGGGGATGGGGTTTCCTCTTAAGGACCCCAAATCAACATAGCTTCTGAATGCTCCTGTAAGCAGCCATCCTTCTTGCCCCACTTTCTTAGCTACTCCTGGGACTGAGCCATGCTGTTAAAGTAGCCCTCACTGGGGTCCTCTCCCCGAGTGTTCCTAGAGCCTCTGCCTTACTCCTTTTTTTCCCTTAATCCCAAGACGCCTGTGACTAACTTTCTTTTAAAATAGCTGTGTTTGCTTTCCATCATTGTGACAAGTACCTGAGATAAACAACTTTTGAGAAAGAAGGTTTCTTTTGGCTCATGATTTCAGAGGTTTCAGTCCATGGCTGGTTGTTTCTGTTGTTTGGGGCCTGTGGCAAGGCAGCATATCATGGTGGGGAGTGTGTGGTAGAGGAAGCCTGTCAATGCATAGCAGTTGAGAAGTGAAAAAGGGAGGAAGGAAGAAGAAGGGTGGGGTTCCAATATCCTCTTTAAGAGCACATCCCTCATGACCTAACTTCCTTGCCTTACACTCTCCCTACTCTTAAAGGCGTGCCACCTCCCAAAATAACTACACTGTGGGTACTGAGCCTCATACCTTTAAAATCTAAACTATAATGGTAGCTTTCTCTGGAGGCAGAATTGTAATGGGAAAGGCTATATGAAGATAGCATAATGAAACCCACCAACCATTATTTTACAAGGGGGATTAAGGGAATATAATAGAGGAGGTGACTTGTTCAAAGTACTCCATACGCTTTTATGGAATTACCACAATGAAACCCCTTGTACTATTAATATATGCTAATAAAAAAGAGGAAGAAGGAATTGTAATAGGAAAGGAACAGGGTGAGTGATGCCTTTCTCTAGGCACAATTGTCCCATAGTGGGGTCTCTTTAACATGAAAAGGTAGTGTGCTGCCATGATGGCTATAAGACTAAGTTGAAAATGCATTGGAATGATAGTGTCAAAGCAAGATGGTGAGACCTGGAGAGAAATACTAGAAACATGCATTTTTATTTTCTTTCTCCCCATCCCCCAGGCTCAGACCCCAGGTCTTGGAACTCAGTCCTACATCCCAAAGAGAGACAAGGTCAAGTGTTTTGTTTGAGGGTTGACAACTTACAACATGGCAAAGATATAAAAGTTGTTTCTTTTTATTCTTTTTAAAAATGCACTAATTTTCCTCTACTCCTAGAGGGGCCCTACCACCATGGTGTTTGTTATGAATTCACCTGTACCTCCTGCCTGGGTGAGAAAAGCCCCAGCCCATCAGGAGCCCAACTTGGAACCATTTGTCCATGTCACACCATCATGGAGGCAGTGTCAGGCCTTGAAGACCTGAGTTGGGAAGCAGATGGGCTTGAGTTGAAACTAGACTTGAGCTCTCATTCACTTCAAGATCTTAGCAGCTAAATCTCTCTGATTTTCCATTTTCTGGCGTGTAAATGAGGATGCTCAAGTCTCCCTCATAGGAAGGGTGAGAAGTCGAATCTCACACATGAGAACATAGCTCTGCTCTGTTGGAGAGATTCAGTGAAATGGGGGAGACAGAATCTGTAAGTGTTATGATGCAAGTGAGGTCATGTTAGAGGGATGGCCCAACACGCAGTGGTGTAATGGGGGCAGGAGAGGGGAAGTGGTTTCTGTGCAGAATCAGGAAGGGGAGAGGAGTTTGTATGGTGTCTGGAAAAGGTGGTGGTTGGAGGGCAGAGGATTCTTCTAGGCTTAGAGGTTCAGCTGTGTACAGCACGTGGTGTGTGGGAGCTCAGATCCTGAGAAGGTACAACCCACCATTTGTATTTATCAGGAACGTAGTTCCTGAAAACTAGCACTCTGGAGCTGCTCCTCCTTCCAGCCTCTGCCCCGTTGCCCTGTCCCTGGGCCAGTTCCTCAGCCTACAATGTGTTTCTCTTTTTGCTTTCTTGGTAAAATCTCAGTGTAAGCTCTCCTTTGTGGTAAAGCCTTCCCCAACCCCAAGTCCCTTTACTCTTTAAAATTTCTTTATTTTTTCCCACATAATTTTTGTTATTTTTTCATTAAAATTGTTTATCTGCATATTGTAGTTGTACCAGGGTTACATTGTGACATTTACAACGTATCTTAGATACTCCCTAGTTTCCACCTCCATCTTTCTCTTTTATCCTCCCTCCCTCCTTCTTAGAACAGGTTCATCAGCTCTCAGAGTTCCATTTTCATACACGAATACGTAGCACTTCCACTGTATTCACCCTCCTTCACCCTTTCCTTATCCCTTCTCCCCTCCCACTGGTACCAACAGCCAGACAGAACTTGTTTTATCATGTTATTTTTTTTAACTTAAAAAGTGCTATTTATTTATTTATTACATTTAAAAAATTATATTATTGTTATACTGGGCGTGACATTTACCAAAGTTCTTACAATATATCATAGTTGAATTCACCCCCTCCATCCTTCCCCTTTATTCCTCCCTCCCTCCATTCTTAGAATAGTTTCAACAGGTTTCATTTTTCCACTTTCATACACATAATAAATTCTACTTCATTCACCCTCCTACAGCCTTTCCCTGTATCCTCCCCCTCCCACTTGTACCAACCCCCAGATAGGTCCTGTTTTACCTTCCCGTTTTCTGTTTTTGAAAAAAAAAAAAGACACTGAACATTGTTTTAATTGTGGTAAAATGCACATAAGATTTACCATCTTAACCATTTTGCAAGTGTACAATTCAGCAGTGTTAAGTACATTTACAGTATTGTGCAACCAGTCTCCTCAACTCTCCTGTCTTGTGAAACTGGAACGCTGTACCACTAAACGACTTCCTGTTCCTTGGCAACCACCCTCCTACTTCTCTCTGAATTTGGCTACTTAGGTACTCCGTGCAGCATTTGTCTTTTTGTGACAGTCTCATTTCATTTGGCATAATGGCCTCCAGGTTCGTCTGTGTTGTGTGTCCTTCCATTCTTGTCACAGGGTGCCCCCATCCTGTTCTTTTATATTGTTCTCCCATTATAATTGTGAAGTCATTTCAACAGTTCTGAGTCTGCTGTGCTCTCCACTCTATATCCTGTCTCTAGATCAACACATGGCATGTGGTAGAAATTCTATATTTATTGAATAAATGCATGAATGAATGCACAAATCCCATCTCCAGTTACACACCCCAGCCTATCTTTACAGCCTACTCCCCACAGACCCACCTGTCTGTTAGTCTCCTGTCCTTTAAATAGCAGAAAATTTTTCTCTCACAAAGCTAGAGGCCAGACGTTCCAAGTCAATATGTTGGCAGAGCCATGCTCCCTCTGGAGGCTCCTTCCTTCCTTGCCTCTTCCAGCTTCTTGAGGCTGCATGTGTTCTTGGCTTGTGGCTACATCCCTCCTCCCTCTTCACATGGCCTTCTCTGTGTGTCTTCTCTTCTTCTTCTCCTCTCTTTCTTTTTCTCTTGTGGTACTGGAGTTTGAATTTAGGGCCTTGTGTTTGCTGACAGGTGCTCTACCACTTGAGCTATGCCTTCAGCCCTTCCTCTTCTTTCTCTTAAAAAGACACTTTAGATTTAGGGTCTACACCAGTAAGGTAAGATGATCTCCTCTGAGATCCTTAACTTAGTTATATTTATAAAGACCTTTTTAACAAATGAAGTCACATCACAGGTCCTGGGAGCTGGGAGATGTCATATCTTTTGGCTGTCACAATTCAGCTGTACCCTCTGAGAACCTCAGCTGATTTGACCTGATTATATCATCTCTTGACTGTCGGGCTTTTTGTCATTTTCTGTGTGTCACTGCCACACCTCTTCCCCTGGAAGGCCCTCTTTTTTTTTTTTTCCTTAAACTTTGAGATTCTCCCTTTCTCCTCTGCTTTCCCCATAAATCCCCTCAGGTGAAAGGAACTTCTTTCCCCTTGGAAACTCTCCTGCCTGCTATTCAGGGTGTGGTTTGCTCACCCTTTGGGGAGGTCCTTTCCTCAGCCTGCTGTGCGTTATTTTGTCAGTGACTTGTTGTGTGACTGGAGGCTAGAGTGAGTTCTGCTTCCTTGTGTTCATTACAGAACACATCAAAACATCAGTGGAGAGATGCTGGAAATGTTTGTAGATGACAATAAGCATTCAGAAAATGGGTTCAGACCTGTAAAAATAAAGGCAAATAGTGAGCTGTTATCATAGCTCTGGTGTAAGAATATATACACATGGACATAGGCAGGGGATTTTAATTTCAAGCAGGGATCAGGTGTTGACTCCAATGAGCTTATGTAATAATGGGGTTTAAAGAACAACAGACAACCCCTGGGTCATGCAGGGCCGGGAATTAGATGGTAGGCTGGCTGTACTGACTGCAAGGTCATGGTGAAGGTCCTGACTCGTCCCCGTCCTTGGGCACCCCCATCTCTTGTCTGACCTGTGGCATGGTTGTATGTCACAGGAATGATCTGGTCCTTGAAGGTTTGGGTTTCCAGTAAAACTATCAGGGCTTTTCCCACTGATGGATCTTTGTAGACTTCATTCCCAATCCCATCTGTCTCCCATGTGCACTCCCCCTATGCACATGCCCCTCCCCCCACATTTCCAGCCTCCTCCCATTCTCTAAGGCTCCAGGTGCAACTGGCTTTGTGATTTGAGGGTCCATCTTCCTCCAGCTGCCTTGGACTGGCTATAGTCCAGATTCCCAGTCCCTGTTCTTCACCCTGATCCCATTAGCAGCGGACGGGAGTGAGGGAGGGGCAGAGCTTCACCTGGGAGGAACTGAGGGAGGCCATAGAGACATATGCATGCCAGTGTGGAGATTTCACATCACCTAGTATTGATACTTATTTTTCAGATTGGTCAGATCCTGTGCTGAAGATGTTTCCAGAACAACAGAAAGAGGTATGTTTGCACTTTGACTCATTACAGACCAGCTCTTCATTCACTAACCATAAACTATGGCATCCTAGAGGAAATCTATCAGAAGAACACAGTACCCATCCTACCGCGTGCTCCCCCACTCTCCACCAGAGGTGCGTCTATGCATCCAGTGACTAAGCTGTAGAACACTTGACCTCCCACTGCTTGTCAAAAGCATCTCTTTCCATGACTCAGAATTCTCCCAGGCTCTGCAGCCTACCTTTTGTCTTAAACATCTCCCTTGGTCTGATTTCTTGGTTTTCTACTCTCATGACACCCCTGAATCTTCCCAGATTTGGGTAGTAGCCCAGGGGAGCTATAATGGCAGATGCCATTAGTTTCAGTTGGTCCTGCTTTTTGCCTCTTGGATCTCTGGTGTTTTTATTTTAGCATAATTTGGGCAAGGATGTTCTTTCCTGACTACTGCTTTCCGACTACTACATTCTAAACCCAGCTTGCTGGAGGTTGAGTTAGTGTAGACATCCCTTGGTAGCCAGAGGGGATTGGTTCCATGGGACCCCCTCCCCCCCCGCCCATGGATGCCAAAACCCAAGGATGTGCAAGTCTCTTATGTAAAATGGCATAATATTTGCATATAACCTACACACATCCTCTTACATGGTTTAAGTCATGTCTAGATTACTTGTAAAGTCAAATGCAATGTAAGTGCTATGATAATGGTTGCTGTGCTTTATTATTTATGGAAAAATGACCAGAATAATCTGTGCATGTTTAATACAGATGTAAATTTTTCTTTTTGATTGTTTTTGATGTGTGGTTGGTCGAATCCTTGAATGCAAACTTCATGGTTACAGAGGGGCCTGCACACTTAGTCTCCATCTCCTCTGGGTATCAGTGTGGCTCAAAGTGCCCATAATAATCCTATCATTAGACTGTCCAGTGGCCAAATCCTCAGACAAAGAAAGACATCAGGCAGGACATTCCAAGTCTAGAGACCATCTCCCAGTCACCTAGGGACAAGTCTAGACCTCCAGGTGGGCAGGGTGGGTTCTTTCCACCTGCGTTGGCCTGACACCACTGGTCAGACTGTGTTACTACCAGCACTTTTCCAAAGGCACGGTTAAAAGTTTTCTCCTGGTGTGTGAGTATGGATGACTGCCCTTGAAAGCAACAAAGGCTGACTGTTGTTTACTTTAAATTAAGTCAGGATCCACTTAATCATGCCTGTAAGGGTCAAATGCATGAACACTGATTGTTCTAGAATCTAGACCAAGAGTGCAGTGTTTTTGTTTTGCTTTGTTGTTTTGGTGGTAGTACTAGGGTTTGAACTCAAGGCCTCATGCTTGCTGGGCAGGTGCTCTACTACTTAAGCACACTCCTGGCCCTTTTTTAACTTTATTTTTCAGTATGGTTTTTATGTTTTTGCCCAGAGATGGCCTCACACTATGATCCAAGTCTTCCAAGTAGCTTGGATTATAGGACCATACCTGGCTTGTTGGTCTAGATGGGAGTCTTACTAACTTTTTGCCTGGGTCAGTCTCAAATAATAATTCCCCTCATCTCCACCTCATGGGTAGCTGGTATTACAGACATGAGATACCATGTCCAGTCCAGCACAGTGCTTTTGTGTAAGCACTTTCCACTCAGTGCCCAGAGATAGGAGACATTACGAATTAATCATGAGGTTGGCATGTGAATTAAGACCTACTTGCCACCTTTGTTCAAGGTGCAGATGACCTGGAGTGATGTCTCGGTTCTTCATAACTGGTAGTGCCAGCCTAGAAGTTTGATCTTTTTTTTTTTTTTTTGGAGATTTGGGAAATGCAGCCTCTTTTGTTAGAACAGCTTTATTACTATAATAAATCTAGCGAGAGGAGAAAAGGGAGTGAGAGTCTCCCTTGTTAAACACGTTCCATTTGCGCATTGGTTCCAATTCCCAGCAGAGCAGTATCCAAGCTGATGGATCTTCCCCATAAAAAGACCTTGGCATTGAGCCATTGTAAAATTAAAATGAATTCAGATTCATTCATGCATGCAGCTTTAATTTACAATTAAAATATTATGGTTACATATTTTAATAAGAATAATTAGATGGACCCAACTGAATCAACTCTTGTGTTTAATGAGACAGAACCCAGAATCCAAATGGAAAGGCAGGTGGCTGTGACAGGAGATGAGTTTCAGACAACATCTTTTGTGGACACAGACATTTTGGTTCTTTTTATATTCTGATGTTGAACATGAGCAATTTGATTTCTCTGCACCCTTGTCCCCAGCCTTGTTGAAACTCGTCTTCTGTGGTGTGTGAGCAAGCAGCTTCCTCTTGCAGGTCACGGTCAGTGTCATAGAGACTGATATTCTGGCCTTGAACCTGTTACTGCTTCCTCTGTGAAGGCACTAGACTTCTTCCTCTAGTTATAGCCATTGGTGTGACTAGGATGCTCCTTTTTATGGGATGAGACTGAGGGTGGGCTGTCGGGGTGTGTGGGGCTATGTATCTCCCTGCTCTCCTGGCTCATGATGGCTGCATTTCTCCCTTTGGAGACTTATACCTTTAGGACAGTAAGGATTTTTTTCCTCTTCAAAATGCACATACTTCATACTGGGGATAGATAACAGCAGCTCCCAGGCCAACAACTACCAGGTGTTGACACCTGAGTAACAATAAATCCCTCAGTTCTCAGCAAGGAATACCCTAAGTAGAGCAGGTCCAGGTGGCACAGGAGAGTTCCACTCACTGTGAGGACCCCACCACTGAAGGAGACAGGATGCTACAGAGGATGATGGATGGAATATGTTGCCATTTTGGATGAGTAGACTGTAGGTAAGATGAATGTGTTCAAGATACGCTTGTGTGACAGATGGTAACATTTTGGACTTGCCCTAGGAGAGGATGTCATTTTTTCTTTTGTTTTTGCAGTGCTAGGGATTGAATCTAGAGCCTTGAACCCTACCACTGAGCTATACTGCTAACCCAAGAGCATGGTTTTGATGTTGGGGTACTGACTGGAAACAGACTGGGGCTGGAACCACTGACTCTCATTAAAGAATAAGAGAATATTGCCTAGTACCTTTGGATACTGGGGACTTTGAGGGGAAGCAACATAACAAGATAAAACATTCTCTCACTCCCCCAAACCTAAATTTGTCCTTCCCCTTTCCTCCTTTTTTCCTAATGCCTTCCCTCTTCCTTTCTGATCTTAGTCACTGACATTATACCCAACTACTAAGTCTTCTCATTAAAAAAATAGTACACTTTTCATAGAGGGAATTTACATTTTTCTGTAAGAAAAGAAAACCAACTCAGATTATTTCCCAAGCAGAAACCAGGTTCCAGGGAACACTGCTCTCATTCTGAGCATGACATTTGTGTTGTAATCACTGAGCTAGTCCCAAAGAAAGATCTTTCTTTCATTTTATTTCCTTAGTCCATATTTCATTTTATTTGTTTTAAATTTTTTAAAAAAACTAATATCTTTTTTAATTATCATATTATTGTTGTATTAGGGGTACATTGTGACATTTACAAAAGTTCTTATATCTTAGTTGAATTCACCCCTCCATCATTCTCCTTTATTCCCCCCTCCCCCATTCTTGCAATAGTTTCAACAGGTCTCATTTTTCCATTTTCATACGTGAGTAGTACATAGTATTTCTACACATCCACCCTCCTACACCCTATCCCTACATTCTCCCCCTATCCCCAGACAGGACCTAATTTACATTCCTGTCCTCCATTTTTGAAAAACAGACATTTTTGTTTGTTTAAGATATCTATACAGAGAGTCTCATGACATATCCATGTGTGTATATATTATAACCTACATCGCATTGGTTCATCCCCTCTATTTTTCTCCTTTCTACTTTGGTCATCTTCTTATGGTGATCTTAACAGGTTTAAATAGTCTATATTCATTGTTGTATAGAAAGTACATCAACCATATTCACCTTCTTTACTTCCTTCTTTTACCCTCCCCCTTCTGTTAGTGCCTTCCCCTTGTTTGACGTTTTTCATTCTTGTCCTTTGTTGTTTAGGTGTCTGTTGGTTGTTCAGTGGGATTTTTGCCCTGGTGTTAAACCACTTTGCTTAAGTCAATGTAAAACCCCCCGACACTGCACTTCCTCACCTTTTTCCGCTATTCTGTGTTGCTTAAGTTTTCAACGTTTTTCTTTGTATTTTGTTCCTACACATCTGTAGGAACAGATGTAATGTAGTTTGTCCTTATTCCATATTTTAAAAGACTGTTCACTACAGAATATTGTTGGAAAAGTATTATGGAAAAAATACAAGTTTAGGCTACTTCTCCCCAGTCTTTTCCTATGCATATGTATATGTCATTTTTAGAAAATTGAGATCATGTAGAACTTATAGTTTACCTCTCTTCTAGCTCAATATTCTGATACATTTCAAAAAAATACCTTCCCAGCTGTGATTAAATTAGAAGTTGCTTTAAAAAAAGAGAGATTAGTGACTATAAATTTGTCTTCACATTTGTTAAGAAATGAACACAGGGTAACTTTATGTTGGAAAGAGCTGATAAACACTACCTCAGCCAGGTGACAACCAAAGTTACCATCAAAAATGGAAAGTCATGGTGACAGCCGGTGCCCTTGATACAACATAATAAAAAGGGCATTTACCTCTGCAGTCTTCCTTGCAACACTCAGACCCCCAGTCTAATCCTGAGACAAACACCAGACAAATCCTAAATGAGAAACTGTCTAGAAAAGACCTGACCAGTTCTCAGATTGTCAAGGTTGCTGAAACCAAGGGAAATCTGAGAAAGTGTCATAGCTAAGAAGAGCCTAAGGAGACCAGACCTCTCAGAGTAATGTGGTGTCCTGGATGGGGGGGACAGAGTTTCAGAAGAGCGTGTTGTGGGCTGATGGAGTGGTTCAAAGGGTAGAGTGCCTTTCTAGCAAGTGCGAGGCCCTGAGTTCAAACCCTAGTGCCACCAAAAGAAAAAAAAAAAAAAAAAGCATGTTGCTTACGTTGGTATTTACCTAACAACAATGCAGTT